CCCCCCCGACCCTGCCCGGGGGTCGGCAGAGCCCGCCGCCCCCCCACACACCCCGGGGAGAGGGGGAGCCGGTGGCCGGGCACTTCTGCACCGACTTGATGGGAAATAGCTGCGTGTCAGTGGTTTCGCAGCCTGAGCGCGGCCGTGTGAGAGTGGGAGGCTCATTCGTGAAGGGTTAACGGAAAGGAAGGATGCGGGCGCTGGTGCTAGGCGAAAATCGGTAGAGGCATTCTCAAATTCAATTAAATTTCAGGGTTGGTTTTTTTTTTTCTGCGTACCGGCTAGTTAGAGGCCAGGCTCTCAAACCTTTGATTGACACACCGTCTCCAACTTCCAGAAAAAGAAGTAAGCAGTGAAGTAGAGGTCATAGTCTGGCTGAGGACCTTAACTTGTGCCTCTACTAAAGAAACACGGAAACACCAACAGTACTAGTTTACTGCTACGGGGTCTCCAGAGGCGCTCAATCCGTTGTCTTTATTTAAAGAGCTTAATCTTCTTCCTTTCTTCGCTGCACTTCCTCCTCCGCTGCAGGCAGCCTCAAACAGGAATGAACATGTGAACCGCAGTGGCCGCTCACGCTCCTGATAAGGGGTGGCAGAAACAGCACACACATGTCAAAACAGATGTTACGTAGTTGATATAAGTATCCACAGCAACCCCATTAATATTTAAGCTTTCCAGTGGCACATATCTACTCCTCTTTCTTTGAATTGTAAATTGAGTTAGTTAATCCTTCATTTACTACTTGTTTGCATTTCCCTGGTTTGATATGCAAGTGTTCATACTCTTCATTTTTCTCCCCCCGATGTACTCGTTTACAGCCGAAGATGTACAGCATGCCTTTCGCATCGGCTGGGCCTCCGGCACCGCGCTTAGATTTACACTCCGCTGACCTTCGTCACTTGAGTAAAATATTTGAGCGCCGCTACTCAAGTTCCAGGAAGGTAAACCGTGCCCGTTCCACTGGGAGGACGTGGTCCAGCCGGCTCAGCAAGGCCCCCGTCCCACAAGCGCTCGCCCGGGAGCTCCGTTCGCTTGGCACGGGCGGGCAGCGGCACGGCTTGCGGCCGCGGAACCGCACGCGTGCATCGCGGCTGGTCGGCTCGAGGCTTTAAGCTGGGGATTTGGACAATAAACTATGAAAATTACTGAACTCCTCTTCCTGACGTACTTTTTGTGATCCACTAAGAAGTATTGTTATAATTCTGTGCCCTCTAGTGGCGCTTAAAATCATCTATTAATTTAAATAATAGTGAGGAAAGCAGCCTGTGAGCACAAATGGTATGGGCCAATATTGAAAAGTAGCCCTAGATGCCAGGACAGCCAGAAGCAAACAAAAGTAATTCTCTTACTAATGAATGAAGTATTTTATTTTTGCAGTGTATGACCAGAAGTATTTTCCCACTTATTCTCTTTTATTAAATAATGCTTTAAAAAGTACGTATTATGAGAAGAGATTGATGGTAATTAATCTAATTCCTACTTGTTAATATGTCCGATAACCAGGGCATGGTAGGCTGGTTGAATGCCAAGTAGATCATTAGCACCCAGGCAGAGGGGCTGTACTATCTAAAAAAGCCAGTCCTCCTGTAAGTATTTATTGCAAAATACGCGTCTCCATTGATACAACAACAAATTCCCCTGATGTTTTGGCTTCGGACTACATAATACCTGGAGAGGTGAGTCGTGTGAAATTCTAGTGTGTCCGCGTGGTCGAAGGTCGCCCTGGGTTCAGGTGTCAGTAAGAGGATCTACTTGACGAAATCTCCAAGGCCAGAACATCCCAAGGAATCTTGACTTCTCGAGGCTGCAGCAGGTACAGTGTATCCCACCTGCAGGTGGGACAAGGAAAATGGCACGCCAGCGTGCGCCTGAGGAGTAGCCATTACTGTGCTTTATGGCAAATGCCAACGACATATTCCTCCAAAATTGTAAATCACGGGTTTTAAGATCGCGTTGCGTTATTCCAGATGTATACATCACATGTTATCTATCCTGACTTGTGGAAGGGTCAGCTGGTACATACAGTCTCTTCTGATCAGGAACAAAATGTTACATGTGTTTGGGATTTTCAGGGTTTTCTTTCCAATGTGTTACTTGCGATGGGTTGTCTTAAATCAGTGTTTCTGGGTTTCGCTTTAAGAAAAAGGAGGAAATAATTTAAACAGCAGCGATATTCCCTTGTCCCCTTATTTACAATAAAATACGCTCTTGCAAGAGAATGTAAGCTTCTTTTCTAAGACATTTACTAAGGCAATTCTGGGGTTGGCCACACTAGAAGTTAAAGCAGGCCTTCACAAGGGCTACATTTGCAGGTAAATGAGAGGAATACTGAAATGCACTGGTGTAATCAGGACACAGGGTGGGTATTAATAGAAGAACCTTGTTACGGGGCAAACCCAAGAGGAATCCAGAGCAGAGCAGTGGCGTTGGAGGGCAGCGGCCGGAGTTCGGGCTGGCCGGGTCGCTGCCTCGCTCTGTGCCGCCAGCCCAGCTGGAGCTGGAACCTGCCCACATCAGGTCCAAAGTACCTACGCGTGTGGTTGCCTCAAGCCACGGACAGATGCCCACCGAGCTGCTGAAAACCAGCGGGGTGTACCTATCTGCAGCTTTTAGCGTTTACGTGGATTTGAAAAAGCTTGTCTCTGTGCCTCAATTAGGTATCCGTCGCAGGGGGTGGTAGCAATTTGTTGGTAGCGGGAGTGATGGTTGGCACGAATTCGTGGAACGCTGTGAGACGCTCCGCTGCCGCAAAGGGGGACCGGTACAAATCACGTCCATAGAGTGGCTGTTTGAAAGAGAAAAGCAGCCGGCGTGCGAGCTGGAGGGGCCTTTTTAGCAACGCTTCGCAAAGGTCAGCTTACCGCGGTGTCATGTTTTGAGTTCATTTGAGTTGCTTGTTAATAACCTTTTTTTTGGTGTTATATAATACCGTGAGGTACCAGCTATGCTCTAGTTTTGCATCTCTTTGTAAGATTTTTACCTTTCTGCCTAAGTCTACGGAGGAGGGGATATACATTGCTATTCTTGGTGCCGAGCACGCGAGAGTCAGGAGTAAGTTTTCAAAGCACTTAGGTGTTAGGAACAATTCATTTGCTGTGCGGACCTGTTGTGGGGCCTGTGATACATGCTGTGCATCTCCAGGAAGCCCTAAACTGAGCATCACTATTGCATAACAAATCATTAGCAAAATGTCAGATGAGGCGAACAGCATGTTAGGATGCATATTACAAGCTGTCTAGTCAGCACATGTAACATGCCAGCAGCTGTAGTGGGGCTCTGATATTAACATTGCAAAATGTTGGAATATTATATGTATCTTGCATTAATATTCCAAAATGTTGGAATATTTTCCTGCAAGCTTTTTTCACACAAATGGAAGAAGCAAGTCTCTCAGTAGCACGAGGCATCCATGCACCGAACACAGCAGAAAGGACTGCCCAACCTTCCCGGTGCATTCTTCATGAGGTCCCTTAACCTTGAACTCGAGGGAGTACCTTCAAAAATAATTTAGTTTGGATGTCACTTTTATGTGTTGATCTCGCTGTTAGACTGCTACGAGGTTGCTAACCCTGAGGAAGACCTTTCTCCACAACGAGCTGTCCAGAGCCCAGACTTTTATTCCAAGCAGACCATGGCCAACACCGATAATCACTCGGGGTTACTACCAGCACAGGCTAAATTTTAATCAGCGTACGAGACGTGAACGGCTCACTCGCAGTACCTGTGCCTCCTTGGCCGGAGGTACGCCAGAAACACTTCTGCCTGGCTATTACATCTGTAAGACCCAGGGCCAGTTCCCAAACTGTTTGTAGTGGACCCCTTCCTCTGGCAGGAGCTGTTTGCCAGGTTTGGCCTCCTCTCCTTGTCTGGTCCAGCTCAGCAGCAGAAATTCCTGGCTTTGCTTCTGTGCTGTCTGGCTGTCCCAGCAAAATGTTTATTTTGCTTCCCTACATCTAGCATTTCCTCTCACGCATCAGATATTCACCCCTGATAAGAGAATTAATTGATTCCGTTGA